TTCGAAAACCCAGCTCGCACGACCTTTCAAAAATAAAAACGAAAATTTTACTCTGATTTTTCAAAGCTAGTAGTAAGGCGGGGTGTGACACACCCGATGGCCCTGTCCAGTGCGTTCGATACGAACGCCAGTGCCCAACATCGTGTATGCGATGCATCAGTTACACGTCCGTCACGCAGGCCGTGCCCAGTGGCCGCCAGCGTGCACGAACGCCCATGTCCGCACCGAGTTCATGGCCAGCAGGGCCGACAGTGCCAGCGCCCGCGCCCAGGGCCTTCGCAGGCCGGTTGGCTGAGCCAGCAGCCGACAGCCCGGCTACAGCAGGCCGTCGGTCTGGCCAGACCAGAAGCTGACCGGTTCAGATCGGTTTGAGTGACGACTTCATGTTCTATGTGCCGGTTCATGTTTATGTCCAATTTTCAGTTAAATTCCGGGTCCAGTCCTGTTCAGTAAATTCATGTCCGACCAGGTTCATATTAAACCGATTCCAGTTATACCGATTAAGTCCAAATATCATGTCAAGTTCCAGTAGAGCATCTTAACATATTAAACAACTAATTTTATCTGTCTGAGCATAGTATTTAGTAATTGTTTATATTATGTTTCAGTTTGATCAGGCTACAATTATCAGCACTGCCTTTTCATTTTGATGGATCAGGTGGGGATTCAGACTGGGTATTACATTAATTATAATTACTCTACCATGTTTGAGGTATGTATTATCAGTCAGTATCCGCTCGGAATGGTCGCCGGTCCATTCTGGGTTCTAGTGGCCTTAGTCTGCCCACTAGAGTGTGCACATGGTGTCCGGCATTTTTATGCTGGCAGATGTTCAGATATCAGTCATGTGATGATTATCAGGTTATGATTGTTTCAGTTTCAGATCATGCTTATTCAGTACCGGTTTCAGTTCAGTTATGTACATGCCAGGATCATGATATTGTTATTATTTTCACTGTTTACTTTAGTATGAGTTCTTGCAGAGCACAGTGGATTTAGTGCTCACGCCCCACATTATTCATGTTTTTCAGGTCACAG